GGGGGGAGCGGGGGAGACGAGAGTCTCAGAGCACAGGAGAGATATACAGTAACGTCTGTATTTCTTCCCATGCGCTCCTGACTACAGAGAGCGGTTATGAAAACACTGCCACAGTGAACACTGACTGTCCTGATGTACGGGGGCTTGGCCCCCATGCCGTGGACCCCTTTAAACACTGTCTCTTATGGATATCCTTATTGGATATAAAGGCACTGGTTGCCCAAAACATTTAAATAAATGTCTTTACAGAATCAAACAATCCAAATGCCCGGTCAGAGGAGCCCTCCACCACGGTATGTTGCCATGATTTTTATTGAACTTTTGGTTTTGTTTATCTGAAATGAATTTGTTTTATGAATAATAATTATCCTTATACCGTCATAAAAAACCAAAGGTTTTCATTCAAATCAGAGCACAGACTCCCCTCGTTTAAGTGACTTATTTTCAACATTTGACACTGTATAATTCTATTGCCTTAAAAAGTTCCTCCATATGTTTTAATGATTATATTCATATTAATATGTAATTAATCATAAGTCATTTTTTTATTAATATATGTAGCGCTAATATCTTCCGATAACCCTACAAGAGAGATGGAGATATTTTCAGGTTAGGATAGTATTTACCAATCAAACAGGACATAGCTAATAAGCAACATTTCGAAATGTTTTCTGAATATAGATAATGTTTTTTCTTGTTAAACTTGATGTGTAACTAAAGTGCGCGTGCGAGTGCGTGTACGTGTGTGTGTGTCTGAAAGGTTCGGGGCAGGTATGAAGCAGATTTTTAACTCTCCTCTCTGTCTCTTGTGTCTTAATAAGGAAATGTTTGGAGATGGTTCAACGTTTACAGCAGCTGACTAGACTGGCTATTAGCGAAGGCAACCAAGCATACACGCACGCACACAAGCACGCACGCACACACGCATGCACGCACGCACGCACACACACACACACACACACACACACATAGATGTAGAACAGAGGAACATCTCACTCAGTCTTTTCCCTCATAAGGACATGCCCATGCTACACGGTATAAACTAAATATACATGTATTTAATTGCTACATGTTTTAAATAGTTGACTTTAAATATTATGAGTGATGGGAAAGTTCAACAGACAACATTTGCATTATCATTTTAGATGAACAAAGAACAGAGTGTATGTTAAAGGGGCTTTTGGCCCTGAACCAGGCCGTTGCAGAGATGGGGGACGTTGGTGCTGCTGGAGAGGAAGGGTTGGAGTTGACTGCTCCTTATTGGGATGATTATCTCACACACTTAAAGCACAATGTTCTGCCCAACTTATTCTGCTTCAGAACACAAGAAAGCTATAAAGAGCAACTGTCTCCATGGCCTTCAGTCCTCTGAATCTGACTTTTATCATAGAACATAATGGACATCTGCAACATAATAAAATGTGATGGTTTGGATTGCACGCATGTCCTGGACCAGGAATATACAGTACATGTGCGTATGTTTTCTAAAAGTGTATTCTAGGGCTGCAAAACTATTCAAAAATGTTAACAAAATCGCCAAATGGTCTTGCATAATTTGTAAATAACAATAAGCGCAATATTTGGTAAAGTTAAAATATATCCAAATATCATTCTACAGACTTAATAACCAGGTCCTGGTCCAGGCTCTGGACTGCTGAACTCTCTACCTGCAAACACCCTCCGACCGCTACAGCTAACTCAGAATGCTGCAGCCAGACTGGTCTTCAAACCCCCACCAGTTCTCCCACAATGCACCACTCCTTCGCTGCCTCCACTGGCTGCCAGTGGCTGCAAGAATCTGCTTCAAGACACTGCTGCTGTGAAGGGAACAGCCACTTGCCTCCTTCCTACATCCAGGCCTTGGTTAAAACATTCACTCCAGCACTTGCACTTTGCTCGACGTCAGCCAATCAGCTTGCTACTCCATCACTGTGAGTGGGACCCAGGTCCCCCTCAAAAACACGCTTGTTTGTTATCCTGGCTCCTAAATGGTGGAATGAGCTCCCTATTGACATCCGGACAGCAGAAACTCTGCATATGTTCCTATTGACACCAGGACAGCAGAAACTCTGCATATGTTCCTATTGACACCAGGACCTCAGAAACTCTGCATATGTTCCGTTGCAAACTAGAAAACGCGTCTATTTCGACTGTACCTCTTTACAAAGCACTTACAGAGTTAGCTTAGGCCTTGTTATACTTCAACAGCACTTACTATGGTATGACTTGCTTGAACTGAATATATATACACATTTCTTGTTGTCCTTTGTTCGATTTGTTATGGTTTTTGCACTTATTGTGAGTCGTTTTGGATAAATGCGTCAGCCAAATGAAATGTAATGTAATATTTCATAATTTATTGCAAATGAAAGATGTAATGACACTGAAAGGAAATAGACAGAACCGAGGTCAAAGTAACCCTCATTAAAGCAGCTGGTGATCAGGCAAATACAGTCATATCCTATAACAGTGGTTAAGAACAAAGGAGAGAGAGGGGAGGCTGTAACTGAGATACAGACACTGTGTGGACCAGAAATCTGTTTAATGTCACAGGAAGTCCAGTGGAACAGCTTCACTCTGTTTACATCTACTGACAGTGGAAAGGTGTGTGTGTGTGACTGTACTCCAATACAACTTGTCAAAGCAGGAAGAGCAGGGATTAGAAGGTGTTCTGTGTTTCTGCTATCTGTCACTCCTCTGCTCTGGAGCTTCGTCAGGAAAATCCGCCTCAAAGAGTTAAAACTTAGTCTGTTGGATGAAAGATGTATATCTCAAGCTCAAATCAGAAATGGTCCTTATTTCGGTTTTCAATAAACACAGACACAAATTATTTGTATTGTTTCAAAAAATATAGTTGCCACAAAACATTTGGGTAGCAAATCACAAAATGATACTGAATAAAGAATATTCAATTGAATTAAAAGTAAAAAAAAAAAAGGTTATTTGAACAGTTTGATATTCAAAGAGCTCACATAGCAATCACAAAGGAACGTATGCAGATGTTATTTGTATTGCCGTTGAGCCAGTCCCAGGTCCCAGGGGACAGCAGAGTTCAGCCCATGGGACTAAAAAAAGAAAAGAAAGTAAAATAATAATACATGGATGTTAAGAAAAAACAGAGTGGTGTCATCATTAGTTAAAAGCTTTCATAAAAAGGTGAGTTTTAACAAATGATTTAAAAGATGTCACTGATTCTGCCAGCCTCAGATCGGCAGGGAGCTCCAGAGCTGAGGGGCTCTGACGGAGAACGCCCCGTCACCATTTGCTTTCAGCCAGCAGAGCCCCTCCCGAGGATCTGAGACTGAGCACAGGCTCGTAAGGGCCCAACAAGTCGAGGTAATCAGGAGCCAAACAGTTAAGAGCTTTAAAAAAAAAAGCATTAACATCTTTAAATAAATTCTAAAACAGACAGGTTCACAGTGAAGAGAGACTTCTTCTTCTTTCGTGTAACGTCAGAGGTCCATCTCGGTGTTGTGTAGCCATGCCCGCATCTCTGGTCCTACGTCGAAGAGGCTGGCTTCCGTGGGTGGTCTATATAAAGGGCAGGTGGTGATTATGTGTTCGGCAGTCTGTTCAGGGTCACCGCACTCGCATGCAGAACTGTCTGCCAGGCCCCACTTCTTCATTGATGTTTTTGAAGCGACCGACCCCAGTTCGTAGGCGGTTTAGTGTGGTCCATTGCCGGCGTGGTAGGTCGTCTCCTCCTANTTGGTTAGCGTACTTAGAGGCGGGGGCCTGTGTGTTCGTGGACGCCAAACTAACCGACTCGAACATGACCGTATACTAAACTAACCGACTGCGAAGGCAGCTTCGAAGTTCAACTTTGTAACGGAGTTGAAAACTTCGCTGCGTGCGCTCGCGCTTCGCTGCGAGGGTGTTACGTCAAGCCGTTTCGAACTGCAGTGGAGTAAGTTTCACTTACTCGTCTTCACACTTCGAAGTTGCGTGGCGCGACACCTGCCGGGCCATTTGTAGGCTTTGTGGTCTATCCGCGGTTGTAGCCATTATTCACTTTAACCAGATATTAGATCCTTAAGTATTCCTGTCTACCAGTAGTTAATTGACCCCTGAATTCCGTTATTTCCAAATTCTTATCGAGCCTCGTTCCGGAGGAGACCGCAACATTAATTCGTTATGGTTAAAATTTAACTATGATTTTCTTTGTCCATTCGGTAACGTTCCTCCGGTCCGAGCCACATTATGCCTTCATAGAGGACCAAACTCAATGTTAGGATCGTTGTTAGGAATCTTCCCCGACTCCGCTCTCTCTGTACAAAATGACTACGGTCCCTCCTCCCTTAGTGTCGGACGGATTAGGATGGACCATAACGTACGACCCTATGTCGAAAAAAAATTAACAACCCAAAAAAGGGGGAGCAAAATTACATATTTGTTTTACCTTACATATACAAATATAAGACTGTAACATAATTTTACTTATGACAAAAAACTTTGAATATTATAAACTACCACAAAAAAAATGTGTCTATAAACGCAAGAGATTACTGAGTCTTCGTTAGAAAAAAGTTCTCTGTAATTTTTTCTTATTTTTGATTCTATGCAAACAAAAACGAGTTCGTTGAACTTCCGGTACATAATGGACGTATAGTCAAGACAGACTTTTGTATGCGACACGACTCAAAGAACAATAACAGGAGGAGTAGTCTACTTCTGTTATGTCGACAAATTAGTACTCAGTACGGGACGACGACCTGGTATCGACTCCTCCCTGCGGAGAGTTTTTCCATGCCGTAAACAGTTAAATACCTTTTAAGTTATTTGAAAATTGTTGAACAAAACCATGTAAAAGTAAAAGTCCATTTGATTGATGATGATGATGAGTGATGATGATGATGA